TCATCCTAATTGTGCATTGTAATATATAGGGAAACTTAGATTAAGACAAATAGCAATATAACTGGAACACTTAAACAGTAACAAATGTAAGGGGGCAAGGAGTAATTTGTTTGTAAAAAATGAAAAAAAATTAACTGTAGCTCCCTTATATTTTAGGTTATTTTCAATTTTGGCTCCCCATATATGTGTTCCTACATTCATTATTGCGCTTAAATGTTTTTAATAAGGATTTTATATCCTATCTGTAAATTAGGCTAAAATGTATTATTAATCCTTTAACTTTATATTCCCTCTAATTCTATTTATAAGATAAAGAAAAAAAATTGGTCTCATTTATAAGTTAACTTATTAAATTTTCAACACAAATTTTTCCTTTTACCTTCAATTGAATGTTGGAAAAAAAATATGATATTAAAATATATATATTTAATAGGGACAAAGTTAAAATTTTTTTAAATTTTAAAATAAAATTAATGATTTTTAAGATTTTTCTAAATTATGGTGAAACATATTGAAAATGAATTGTAAATAAAACAAAAAAAGTACAAAGTTTTATTTTGGTCTCTTAATTTCATAAAGTGTCTTTTTAATATTTTAACTTTAACACTGTTAGTTTTAAATGATTATTATTTATACCAATCTTTATTATTTTTAAAAAAATAAACTTAATATGTCAATATCTAAAAATATTTTTTCAATATTTAAAAGTTCAATGTAAGAAATTTTTGTTTATAAAACTAATAGCATTAGAGTTAAAGAATTAAAAAAATATTTTATAAAATTAAGAGACTGAATTAAAATCTTATATAAAATTAGAAGACCATAAATATACTTTATCCTAAAAATTATATAACAATATAAATTTTTACTTCAACTTTTCACAAAAATATGATTAAATAATCAAACATTTAAACACTTACTATAGTTAAAGAAGTATCAACCAATATAATAAAGAGTAAACATAATTTTCCAAAACACTACCATGTTAAGTAAAAGTTGACCATGGTAAAAAGAGTTTTAAATATAATTTTCAAACTTTACTGTGGTAGAAAAAAGTCTGTCATGAAAACGGTAACTCAAATCCATTTTATAAAAGTTTATCATGATAGAAAAGAACTTTTCATATGATAAAATATTTTTTAAAATGGACTACCATGGTAAAAAAGTTATAAACATAACAAAATAATCCTATCATAATAATTTAGGAACTAAATAAGTTACATAAAGAAATACTAATGAAAAATAATATTAAATAAAGTGAACCTAATAAGATTCCATTTAAAACTAATACTCAAAATTCACCATTTTATTGTAAATCATAATTGCGCATAATGCTTGGCAATTTAAATCTAAACATCATATGAATCACAAATAATAATTAACTAAGTGACTCAAGTATACACCCATAACAAGTACATTGGATCCTAGTTAGATAAACCACACTTTCCAAACATGAATTTAATCATCAATACCCAACATAGACCTCGAACAACACTTTTTACAATTAGTTAATATTATACAACCAAAGTCTTCACAATGGTATATGCTTGATCACTACACAATTACATCAAACATCATATCATAAAACACATTATAAATGTGTATGAAGAAAAACATAATTGAGTTATAGTTATCCAACACAATATACATGTATACATGGAAAATTAATTAAAAAACCATCAAATCTGCACAATATAATTTAACTATTTTAAGTCAAATCAAAAGAGATCATAGGTGTTAGATATCAATCCCATGGCTACAATTTAAATGAGTCACACTAAAGTCAAATGTTGACATGCTCTAAATAAACACAATGTGTCCTAAGTTGGTAATCATACATTACTAAACAAAAATGAGACATAACATAGATAAAGTGATATTCTACACACCAAATCTAAGCCTTAGGTCTCCCTTAGTTAGTCTTGCTCCTGTAAAAATATTTATTAGGGGAATGAGAGACAAAAATTTCAGTAACCAATACTGAAATGCTACGATACATGTAAATGATGTAATGTAACCAATCATATGATTGTTAAATAAAGCAAACAATATTCTACATGACGACACTTTACCTCCCTCCATGCATTGTGCTCGACACTAAGTTACCTCACCAAAGGTGAGTCAATCCAAATTAATAGTCACTCATTAGATTCAATGAGGGCTTACCACATGAAAGGTAAACTTCTAAGATTCAAAATATCTCTAAACAATAAATCATGCTTTCACACACACACACACACATCTCTCTCTCTCTCTCTCTCACAAATATCCTACTTGGCAATTAAATTTTTCAAGCAACAGATGCACATTTTTTCAAATACAATATTTTTTTAATAAAATTCATTTCAACAAAATGCACATAATCAATCACAAGGCACACACTATAATAAATTAATAAAGGCGACTTTTGTTTCAAGCAATCAAAATTTTTTGAATAAGTGATTTCTCACTTCTAATACCTTTAACACCATATCTACCCATGATACAATACTAAATATAATTAATATTTATGACTAGGCACTAATCATGCTTTAATCTAAGATTGGGTTAATTAATCTCATTAACCAAACACTCCTCTATATACTTAAACACTCAATACAAATCATCTCTATTGTTAATTCACTTCTAATACACCCATTAGTTCTCTAATCATCATGATTAAACTCTTTGAGAAGCTAATTTGCATTAATTAAATCCTAAAAACCTAGAGTTTTTCATAAGCCTCCAATCATCATTCCAATGATTTTCAAACATTTTTCTAGACCTAAATAAACTCCTAATCATCACAAAAACACCTCCAAAATTCAGAATTAGCAAAAACCTAACCATAACAATCTAGAATTTAACCCATAATCATCAAATTTGAATTTCAACACTAAAATTGTGATCTGGACTACCCATTACACTTAACCTTAACAACCAAACTCAGTGCCTAAAAATTTGAATCTTTAACCTCATAGGAAAAACTTAACTAAAAACTTATCAAAATCTAAAGGAAACTACGTAAAATAGGAGAGAAATGATCTAGGAAATTACCTCAAATGATTCTCAGGTTTAAAAACCACTTCAACCAACTGAAACTTCAAGCTTTAACAGAGTTCTTGCATTATCTGATTACCAATACAGGGACCGTTTTATCCTCATTCGTCTGTGTGTAGTCGTGATGATGTTAATTATGTCTGCACATGAATGAAGGCCATTTAAATGACACCGCACTTGTATTTACATCCACAAGCGAAGAACCTTTGTTCTGCTCTTGTTTGCTTGTGGAGAAACACAAACTAGGCAGTTTTCACTTAGCCCGAATCTATTGGGCCCAATACAACCCATTTCTTTTTGTGGACCCCCAAACTACCCTTTTACATGTTCTCAGACTTAATTTCACCCATAATTAAGTATCTAAATAGTCTGTTAACTTCAATAACACATAAATCCACAATGAATCCTCAATGGCATTTATTTCCCGCGATTAATTACTTAATTCAAGATTTAAAATGTTACAAATTATATTATTAAATTTTTATTATAAATTTTTTCTTTTACTCTCCTTTAAATGTTAGTGAGAAAAAGTATGCTATTAAAACATGCATATTTAATAGAAGTTACTTTAAAAACTACTTATCGATTTTTTTTTACAATTAATAAATTTTAAGATTTTTTTTAATTTTGATAAAAATATTTTAAAAGTGACTTATAAATATAAAACTAAAATATTAATATTTTTAGAAATGTTCTGAAAGAAAATGAGGACTAGGATGATGTATTTTTGTGAGCTATTAAATACAAAGAGACACCGATACACTATTTTGATTTGCAAAAGTATGCTTTCAATTTCAATTTGCGCGTATAATCATATATTATTGAATGACTCATGATTACTAAAACGTTAAATCACATTATTGTTGAGCCTTGAATGAAAATTTGACTCACGAATTCTATGGGGATGCAATTACATGCATTGGTTAAGTTTAAAATAAACCTTAGTATTATTTTATTGGTGAATGGACTAATTCTGGTCACTCACTCAATAAGTGTTTCATATTATATGATAACAACTATTTAATTTAATCAAAAAAGTTATAAAAGATATTAGCAAATCTCAAATTTTGAAAGATATAATGAATGTTATGATTGTGAGAATTATTTCAAATTTTTGAAGAAAATATCTTGATAGTTTCAAACATTAATGAAATCTGATAGTTGTAGTTGAAACATTTATTGAATAAGTGAATTTAGGACACTCACCAAATCTAAATTCTTAATTATCATTTACAAATAGTACATTTTATTACAGACTTTAAATTTAAATAGCTATGCACAATTTTTATATGTTTCATAAGGTTTAAAATAAGCTTCATTATTTATTATATTTTATAATAATGCTGCTTGCATTAAGTTTTGTATTCTATACGATGATTTTCGATGATTAAAATCATAAATATCATTAGAATTATATATATATATATATATATATATATAATAAGTTAAATAAAATCGAAAACAATAATGGATATTTTTTTATAGAAAAAAAATGAATATTCATTGCAGAGTGTCTAAATGTTTACTTTTGAACAATAAAGTTATTTTTTCACCGATAAAACTAGATAAAGTTTGATTTGGTGTTAACTATTACTTATCCAATTTTTTTTATTAATTTTCAGATTTAATTTGTTCAGTTAATGTATGAGTTATTTTTCACGTGAATATCTTAAAGATTAAAGAAGCCAAATTTATGATAAATGCACGGATCATCATTACTGATTTAATTTGATTCTCTTAACAACTAAACATATTATAGAGATTAGAGATACTCTGGCCAAGAGAATTACCATAAAGATATATGCATTCACAAAGTTTCCTAATAACATTCAATCAATTCGTGTAAAATATGAATATATGCAAAGAATCTGAATTTTTGCAACTGATCAGAGTTTACACAGAATATTTTGAAACAAAAATCAAAGGACTTGATAATAACCCGATCACATATAAAACGGGTCGGTTCCCGGGCTATTGATGACATATAAACGGGTGGGTCAAAAGCTGCGACGCTGTCCATCTCTCACTCGATTCCTTCTTCAAGCAGCAATCCACGAAACTCCGAAACTCGTCGGACGCACTCTCTGGCAAGGTTGGTGGTTCGTTGAAACAAATGGCAGACATCAATGAGGCCCAATCGGGTCTTTGACCCGCCGGTAGAAGTGGAAAATAACCCAAATAGAGTTCGAATAGCGTGAGACCCAAGCTCCATATATCAGCCGCAAACCCGTTATAATTCCCGCCATAACTATTCGGGTCGAACCGTTCCGGGCTCATGTACGCGCATGTACCGACGTATGAATTGCATGGCTCCAACGTCCGAGACAAGACCTTGCTGACTCCGAAATCGCTGATCTTTACTTCCATATTCTGATTCACTAGAAGATTTGACGGCTTGATATCACGGTGGATGATCTTGTTCGCATGGAGATGGCTCAGCCCGTGGAGAACTTGACGCGCCACCGCTGCGATTTGGGATTCAGATAATGTGCCGTTGTTTTTCAGAAGCGTGTCCAGCGCACCCAAGTCCATATACTCTAGCAAAATCGCGACGTCGCCGGACGGCGTCTCGAAGAAACCGTGGAACTTTACTACGTTTGGCGAGTCCGTCCGTTGCAGGATGTCTACCTCTCGCCGAACCTGCCGGCTGATCATCGGGTCAAAACAGCCGTGGACGACCTTCAGGGCGTGGATAGCAGAAGTTCGCTTGTGACGAACCTTGTAGACGGTGCCGCCATTGCCTTTGCCAAGAACTTGAAGCTTTTCAACGTCGTCGGGAGTGATGTCTGCGGCGGAGGAGACGGAGGAAGAGGATATGGTGGGGATGGGGAAGCAAAGGGAGGGCTCCGGCAGCCTCAGGCAAAGGTTGGGGCGGCGACGTTCACGTACAACGTCAGCCATATGTGAAGTAAAGAGACGATGCGTTGTAAGGTAATCGAAGTGAAGGGTTTGTACTGAGTGGGAGAAGAAGAGTGAGTTTGAGAGATTTTATATATGCGTAGATCGATCCTACTTGTGACTATTCAGTTTAAATTAAAATTAAATAATTCCAACTGGAATTTGTATCTATTCTAATCTTTTAGATTAAAGATTCGCTTAGATCGTACACTTTTAATTTAATTTGATAGTTTAAGACTTTCAAATTAAAATAAGCATTTAAGTTTATTAATTAATTAACTTTACAATTACATTGTGATATTTGGACAATATCTTTTGAACAAATCACTTATAAATCTATTTATGCATTTTTTTAAATAGGAATTGATATTTTCGTTTTAAATTTGACAGTTGACATGTGTTTTGCTTTAATTAAGGGATAAATCTCTCTATCCATATATTATAAAAATAGAAAGAGTATAACGGGCATCAAGTTTTTTAATATTTTATATGGGTGACTTAAATTAAGTAATTAACTTAAATTTATACACACACACACACGCACAATAAGTTAGACAAAATCCAGAAGCAACCGTGGTCATTTATTATTTTAGTTTAACTCATCTAATTTTTATTAATTTTTAATTTTATTTTGTCCAATAAATGCATGACTTTTTTATGTCAGTTTTAACGGTTATTAATTTTGATGATATAGTTTAACCTTGTAACATGGAAATAATCGGGGTATGAAGATTTCTAGCTGGTCTTATGTTTTAATTAAAGATATCGCCTTAATTTCGAATCAATTTATGTAATTTAATCTTTAAATTAAATCTAAATAAGTTGTTTTTGAGTTTGATCCACAATTGAATTAAAAATTTATTGGAACAAAAACTTTGGATTCTTCATCATACTTGATTCTCTTGATCTGTTTCGTATCCTCTCTGATCTGTTCGCTTGGTACATTTTCCATTGATTTAATTGGAGCTGTTAACTTAGTAATTAAGCTAAGCTTTTGTTACCCTGCATGCATTACATTAAGTTTAAAATGAGTTAATAAATTATAGCATGATTTATTATATACTGAATATAAATCTTTCATCGTACTTTCACATATTTTGCATGAATTGAAAAATAAACCATACTATTCATATCTTATAAAAAATGGAACTTGCATTGATTTTTGGATAAAAGAATAAATTGATCTCTAAAATATATATGGATTAGGAGCATTTAGGACTCTAAGCTCATTATTTATACAATATGTCCCTTCAACTTTTGAAAAATGTGTGATTCAGCTCCTGCCATTAAAAAAAAAAAGTTAGTTTTGAAACCAAAGAAGGACCACAAATTTTACATAAAAGGATAAAAAAAATTTGTCATTTTTTATATTTTTTAATATTTTTTTCTATTAATTTCTGATTAACTATCAATTAAAGTTAACTTTTATTAACAGTAGGAGTCAAATTACATCATTTTTAAATGTTAGAGGGGCACCTTACACAAACAATAAGTTTAAGATTACAACTGCTTCTGGATTAGGAGCCAATTTACTTATTTACTGTTATTTTTTTATATGGTTGATTTAAACTATAAATTATTATTTATAATTTAAGTCAAATCTTTACACGATAAGCTAGATATGATCCATTGATAACGAGGAATATTTATTGCAAAGGGTCTAAATTTTAAATTTCAAGTCAGAATGAAGCAGAAAGTTGGATTTAATTATTTTTTTTGTTATTCCAATATTATTAATTTTGCATTTTAGTTTGATCAGTTAATGTATTATATGAGAGGCTAATAATTTATGTCAATTTTAAATGTTAAAAAATCTGAGTCAAATTTATGGTAAATGCACTTAAATTATTTTTTTGAAAGTACAAATGATAAATTATATATGTATATATATTTATATATCAATGTATGCACACGTATCATTTAAGTTATATCCCTTTTTTTTTTTTGGCCTGAACATTTAAGTTATGTCTAAATGAACAATCAGTTATACCAGTGAATCCATGCTGGCATTTATTACAAAGTATCAAAATTTTAAATTTAAGTCAAATAAATCTAAAAAATAAGTTTAGTTAATTTAGTATTAACTTGTCCAATCATTATTAATTTTAATTTTTTTTGTTAAATTAATCTATGGGTAATTTTTCTAAGTCAAATTTAAAGGTTAAACAATTGCCAAACTTATTATGATAAATGCACGAATTATTAGCAATGATTCAGTATAATTTGATTCTTCTAAACGCTAATCAAACGACAACAAAGAGACATGCACCCAGAATCTTATTTCCGAAACTTCTTAATGCACCGAACAAACTTTTTAGATATGATTCATGAAGATAATTGTATATAATTAAAATAACCTGAATTAGCAGAATTAACCTGTACAAAGAGGATGATTCTGAAAATTGCATGTTGGAGAGTTTATCCACATGGTCGGTGCTCCAAAAAAAAAATCTCAAGAATCAAATTAAGAAATTATTTATTTTGAATTAAAGTGTATTTTTCTCCTTATATTTTTTTTTTTGAGGAGCCTGAGCACTCTGTATTAATAAGTGGGTATTTTTTATTCTAAATCATTTTTCTGATAAGCAAAAATCCCCTCTATTTTAGAAAATGGTTTAGAAAAAAAAACCCTACTTATTAGCATTGGATGCCCAACACTTCTTGAAAGAAAATACAAGAAAAAATAAAATTTTATTTAAAAACAAATATTAATGACTACTTTAATTTAAATAATAATTAATTTTCTTATGATAATAACTAAAACCGAACAAGCAATCACAACTTTTTCACTACAAATAATTTGCATAGGGGAAGTTGTCATTGCTTATTTCATTTTTGTCAAAAAAAATAGTCATTATTTAAACTAAAGTAGTCATAGATATTTATAATACTTGGATTTCAGTAAATAAAACATTTGCACAATAAAATTTGTAATTAGTTGTTCCATTTCAGTCACTATCAGAAAAAATAGTTATTATTTAAACTAAAATAGTTATTAATATTTATTTATTTTTATTTTAAACTAAGGGTATTTTAATTGACATCTGCATATTTTTAGAGGATTAAAGTGCACTTTTTTCCTTATACTTTCCTTCAAGGAATGTTGGACATCATATGCTATAAGTGAGGCATTTTTTTTAAATTATTTTTATAGGGCAAAAATCCCCCACTATAAACAAGTTATTAACGGAGGTAGACTTTTTTAAAGCTCATAATTAACATGTTTAGTAGGATGAATTGGCTAAAACTTGGAATTGGTGAGACCCACCTACATGGGACTAGTGAAACCCATGAGGAGGGTGGTACTAAAATTTTATTCTTGAGATTCAAAATTATAGACCAAAACACCCTCCTTTATCAAGTCAATTTTCTCGCTTGGCTTCTCCCTTCGATGTCCCTCCCATCATTTCTCCCTCTATCAACCTCCATCTCTAGTCACCTTCTTCATCTCCATCACGAGGATCTGATTCAATTCAAGAGGTGGAGAAAGGGCTAGGGTTTGATGGCAATAGAGAAGAAGAGATTTTTCAAGGTCTTATTTTTTAATTAATTATAAAAAGTATTATAGTCTTTTTATAATTTATGTTTAATTATAAAATAAAATGAAGTTAAGTATTCCTTGTAATTATTACTCCATACCAAACATAATTTTAAACTGTCAATTTCAATCTCAATCCCAATTCAATTTCAATTCTTTTAAATTTAGACTTGCATATTAAACAAAGCCTTAGCTCTTATTGAAAATGGTTTAAAGGAAAAAATATTTCACTTATCTAAAAAGAAAAAGAACAAGAATGAAAATGTATTTTAACACATGAAGCAAATTTATCTATAAGTATTTCTTATTAAAGTAGTGCAAAATTACATATGTATCATTATTTATAATTTAAATAGCATAAATTTGTAAGTGAAGTATGCGTATTTATCCCTAGTAGTTTAAAGGACGCAATGCTATTGGGAAAAAAGATTCCTCCTTTTCTTTTCTCTCCTTTTCCCTCTCTTTCTCAATCCCCACCATTCATCAAATTTATAATTAAAATAAATTTATTTAATAAAATAAAATAAAAGGTAATATACGGGTTGGGTCCTAAAGTTAATATGCGGGTCGGGAGGGAAACGGGGAGAAATGGAAGGGAGTAACCCACGCTATTGACCCTATCCTAAGGGTAATATGCGGGTCGGGTCCGGGCAATCTAGCACATATGGTGCACATCAAGGCGGCCCAATCGGGTCGATATCTCAAAACACATTCTCTCTCTCTCTCTCTCTCTCGTCCGAAGAAACAAAACAACAAAACCTCATCAGATTTTGCAATCTATCCATTCTTCAGTCTTCACCTTTAAAAAGTTAGAAAAGGTAAGCAAACACCTTCTCTGGTCATCTTCTCCGGTTAATTTTGCAGAGATAATGAAGGATTGTAAAATTGTGACGGTTTCCTTTGTTATGAAGGTGAAATGCTGTACTTTACCTGTAACATTGAAGAGGCTTTCCCCGCATGGTGCACTCGCTGAATGCAATTCAGCATCGTTGAGGTTCTTAAAAGAGAATGGCCGCTCTTCTTGCAACAAATACGTGCTCCTTTCTCAGTACCCATGCTATTAAAGGAGTCGAAAGATTGGAGAGCAAGGGTATGTGATATACATAACCGATTACTACTTCTCCCTTTTTCTCCATAATTTCATTTTTCTTCTTCTTTACGTTTACAGTGTTACCACAAGTGAAAAAGGAAACTGTAGAAAAAAAGTAGAATTAATCACAATACTGTTATTACAAAAAGGATCTACAATGCTTACTGCTAGAGTACTAGTTACCATTTCCTCATATTTAGAATGTACCAACATGTCCAACAAGTCCTTAGTTATCCTTAGCCTACATCGACTAAAACTTACTAGATCAACGTAGCTATCTTATGTCAGCGAACCTAGATTGTCTGTAGTCAATAGATGACTGCACCAGGTGCAGTCAAATGATTTCAGCTGTTGACTTAATGTCTCTGTTAACAACCGACCATGTGTCTTTCTTTTTTAAGAAAATAAAACCCCAATTTGAACTTTCACACATGGTAAAGGCCTTATTGAATAAATCTGGAGGAAGTAGTTGGATGAAAATGTTGATTTGGGAGGAAAATGAATGAAAAGAAGGATATTAGATACACATGTTTAAACGCGCCCTTTTGAACCTTTCAGGGCTTCACTTTCTTTTAAAAAGCATGTATGGCATGTTAATCAACGGCTGAAATTAATTGCCTCCACCTGGTTCAGGTCCCATGTAAGCATGTTAGATATGCTTTTCTTCAAATCCACTTTTGCTATGCTTTATGCATATAGTTTTGTGGTAATGATTGACTGGGTTTACCTTGCTGTTGTTGTCTAAACGCGTGTTAAAAACTTTATTGAAACCATACCATTGAATCACATATTCAAAAAAACATGCTTTAGCATTTTAACAATTGCAGCTTCTGCTTAATGGCATTATAGTAAAGTGACAAGATGTTCTTCTGATTTTGATAGTCACCGTATCGGCTGCTTTTCTTTCTTGACGGCTTCTGCAATATAACAGATAAACTACAATCCAGGTCTAATGTTGCAGTACCCTCCCCCAAAGCTTCGTCAAGTCGTAGGCATGCTTTGGTAAGTGCTGGAACTTCATTTGTTACCGTCACGTTATTATCTCCATTTCTGGCATGGGCTGAAGAGAAGGAAACTGCACAAAAGGAAGAAGATGCAGGATTTATAGATGCCATCAAATCATTATTTGATCCTAATGAGAAAACTAAGTCTGGGAAAATGTTGCCAAAAGCTTACTTAAAGTCAGCAAGAGAGGTAGTGAAAACACTACGTGAATCTTTAAACGAAGATCCTAATGATATTACCAAATTCAGAAGGACTGCAGATGCAGCAAAGGAATCAATTCGGGAGTATTTGAGCAATTGGACGGGGCAAAAAGCTGTTGTTCAAGAAGTATGCATCTATGACCAAACTACAACTCTTATATAGACTTGATTTACAGAATGAGTAGATTTAGCAAATTATGAATTAACATGTAAACAAGCAAAAGATATACTTAAAGTATTAAACTGACATGTTTATTTATAATTATTAGCTTGGTTTACTTAACTTTTTGTGCACATAGGATTGTTAAGAAATCTTCTTGATGGACATGTAATGAAAATTAAATTCTCTGGCTATTATGCATGTTCTTGCATTTTGCCACAAATATGTGATTGTTTTTTGCCTGGGTTACATGCAGGAATCATATGTTGAGCTTGAGAAAGCGATCAGAGCGTTGGCAGACTTTTACTCAAGGGCAGGGCCATCAGCTCCATTACCAGAAGAAGTTAAGTCTAAAATCTTGGATGATCTAAATATTGCTGAGGAATTTTTGTAGAGCATCTTCCAGCTGGTTTTGTAGAAATGGCATCATTTAACACCATGTGGATTAGATTGACAAGTTCCAATAGTGAATTTGTTCTCCAACAAGATACAACTTTCATACCCCAGGGGGCAAAAAAAAAAGATTTTCTGCTACTGTCTTTGTGAGTTTTACGTTTCAAGTATGAGAGTTTGATGCATTTGCTGCACCTTGAAAGCGAAAACTGCTACAAAGAGCAGCAAAGAAGTCATCATTAAATTTATCTGCGGATTCTATATAAAGGTGGGATAAGACTTCTTGTCATATTATATTATATATAAAAGGTGAATGGTTGGGCAAACAGAATAGCACAAGACTTTCCCTGTCATCGCCTAACTGAGGAAGAGTTTGTTGTCAAATACTCAGACATCTTTAATTGCTGAAGATATACCGTTCATGGACATCTTGATTTGTTTCTCACTAATTAGTATCCTGTTTGTAGTCTTAAAATTTCAAATCACGGAAGAAATTTCTTGAGATCAAGTATAAAGAGTAGCCAGATAGCAATTTCTTTGTTTTTCTTGACTTTGCAGTCAATGATGTCAGGGAATGTCAATAATCATGAATGAACTCAGAATGCAGTCAAATGCAAAACTTGCAGTTTGTTATCTTTCTGGTCAGACAATCTGGTCATGGTGTTGGTGCACAGATTATGGAACATAGCACTTGGCATTAAAAAGCTCAAATTACAAGAATAACCATTTTTGCTTGCCATTAAAGAAAATAATGCATCTATAGGCTACCGACAATTGTGAACTTTCCTTTCCAAAACAATATCATCTTCTTTCCTTCTAAAGCTTATCTGTAAATACTTTCCCAAACAAGATTATTGAACTGCTTGTCAAGAGGACACGCTATCACAATATAAACATTATAGTTTATCCACACACAAAAAATATTGCACATTATCTTTACCCAAAAATAATATTGCATATTATAAATTAAACAAACAGTACCTATGAGGATAGGACACCGGTATAATTAACAACATATAACCTCTGTGAGAGTCTTCTGCCAAGTCAACAGCATCCAGACTTTTGACATTTATCATCGGTCAATATTGCACTCTGTGAAGTGTCATTCTGCTCTGCATTTTGCTTGCCCCACTATGGCTGTGTTTAGGTTAGAAGCTGCAAAACTGAAGATAGAATGAACTAGGATTTGCAAATTAAAATTAGGATAAAAGTCAGTGTCTGTTACATGATTTATGTTTGAATAGGCTCCTGAATTTTACCTGCAGCTGAAGCCAAAAAAGCCTATATTTTCAGCTTCCATGTAAATTGGCTTTTGAACAAAAAACTCTTGACTATTTTTTTATCCAAACATCCTTTTAAACTTTTCAATGAGATTTTAAGATCAAAACTGAAGTTTGTTTGGATGTGATCCAAGCATAACCTATATTTTGTTTTGCCACACAGAATTCTCACCTTGCTCTTTAGAAAACCTACTGAATCGGTAATTTCTCACTCCTCTAGTTCATTTCCTAATGCAAGACCTGTACTTCTGAGGTAAAATTTCAGTGCCATAAATTCATCTCAATCTAGGTTCGAAGACTGGATAAGAAGATAAAATTCCAAATGACCGCATATTTTTAGATAATAAAGAAAGCACGGTGCCACAAAAATAAAAATGGTAGATCAAAAACACAATGGACTGAAGTTTTCAAGTTGTTCTATCAGGAGACATGCTTATAAAAACATTCTCACTATAATAACGTGCATAACTTGTGCATAAAATTCAGCACACCAGATTTACAAAACATCAAATTTATCAGGATATATATACCAAAGTGGTTTAGAAACATATCATGAGAATCTACATTGCTCAAGAACAAGTGGCATATCACTAAAAGCATTCTAATTTCCTTATATCATCTCTTGCCACAAATATTGTTTGATGCATTTGAATTCCTTCTTAGACAAGTTAAACACTTTATGTAAATGAATCATCTAGAAACCCATGGAAACCAAGGCATATTGTGTGATTGAGGTTTTCCAAAAATCATAAAAACAATTAGATAGCTTTACTTAAGGAGAACAGTGGGAACAGGACTTCAACAAGGTCAAAACCCAATTACTGCTCAGAAGCATTAGTTTGACACATGCATGAAAATGATAACTTTAAGCAAGGTTTTAAAAATCGGATCGGACCGGCCGGTTCAACCTGTTGAATCGGGAACCGGCTCTTGGTCCGGTTCAATTGACCCCTAAAAACCGATCAGTAGGGAACCGATCAACAATTGGTAAAACCGGTAAAAAACCGGACAAAAACCAAATCGGTTCTCAAGAAAAAACTGGACAAAAAATAAAAAAATAAATTAAAATTAAAATTAAAATACATCTTTCTTGATATTTAAATAAAAAGCTTCACTTATAATTAATATTAATTATGTATTTATCAATAATAAATTATATTACCAAGCATCTATAATATATTTTTGAAAAAAATGTATATTTAAATGTATTTCTTATTTAATTATGATACATAAATTAAAAATTTATTAATTTAATATCAACCGGTTTGACCTCGGTTAGATCACGATTCAATCAATGAATCGCAAATCAGTGTCTCATCTGGTTCAATGACTGATCTGGTTTTTAAAACCTTAACTCTAAGTGCATACAGAATAAACCTTCAACATAATGTTTATAGAGAGAGAAACTTCCATACTAAATACACATGCATACATTACAGGCTGATTAAAATGAAAGGTGTTTGATGACTTGGACGCAGAGTGACATATTTGATGAGCGTGCCTCGTGACTCGGATGATGATTAGGATCAACATGTGACATGTCTGGTGATGTGGATGCTAAATAGATGCTGACTGGAATGCCTAGTTGACGTGTTAATGATGTGGTTGAAGACGTGATGCTGACTCGAATGATGGCTGGGAGTGCATGGTGACCTGTCAGGTGATATGGATGATGAATCATGAATGGGACACCTTCATGACGTATCTGTTGAAGTGTCTGATGACTCTGATGACATAGTGTCATGTCTGATGACTAGGATCAACCTGTGACATGTCTAGTGATGTGGCCATTGACTCCGGTGTTGACTGATGTCAAGGTGACATGGCTAATTATATGGCTGGTGACTAGGATGATGGTTGGGACACTACGGCCTATGGTGATGTGTTTGATGATTTGTCTGATGACTTGGATGATCAGTGGGACAAACCTCTAACGTGATTGAAAATGGGAAGTTGGATTCCCTTGGCACAGGATGAGTTGGATTTCTTAATCCTTTTCTATCGTTGATTTTGGGGTGGTCAATAGAGATTGTTCATTTTCATATTATTATTTTTGGGCCTTGTAAAGAGGCCCATTGTTATTTTCTTGTTTCTAATAACCGGCCCCATCTTTATAGGCCTCAATTTTTTCATGTATGAGGATCAACGTTGGACAAATTCGCTTACAGAGAAGTACAATAAATTAAAATCTGCATATAATGGTGTGCGTATTTATATATAAATTCATTTTTTACCTGAATATATAAATTCATTGGATATCTCTTATTTAAATATTTAACATCTGGAATTTTTGAGTGAAAACCATCCATTTGTAAAATATTAAGAGAAATATCTTAATTAATAAATTATTTAATTTAATAACTGCAAAGTTTTTTAAAAAATACAAAAAAAATCACACACATATATATAATATTTGCTTTAGAAAAATAATGTAGTGGGTAGCTTAGCAAAATATATGGATCTGTATTCTAATTAATGCAACAAGGCAAGTCATTCATAACTTTCAAGAGCTTGAAGATCAATACATCACTACTCAGCATTGGATGGCATTGCTGTCATGCAGTACATGTTAAAGACTTGAAGATGAACAACATAAAACACATGCTCGCATCGCGCACATTACATTTGTTATATTAATACTCCCTCTATAAGGCATTTTTTTTTTCAAAATATCATATTAAAAAATATAAAACATTTCTAAAGGTGCAATTAATATTTGTTTTTCAAAAATACCCTCAATTAGTGTGTAATTAATAAATTTTTTTAATTAAAATACTTTATTAAATAAAAAACATTGAAAAAGTTGCATAATTTTAAAGACAACTAACTCATGAAGGATGTAATTTGATTAAAAATATATTATAGCATTGAAACTGAGGGAGTATAGAATATGGGAAGAGCCTATGTACCCACACGCACATATATTTTTAAAAAATAAAAAGCTTATAACTGTGTATTTGTTTGGGCTAAATATGAAACATCGCTCAAATAGTTTACAAAGCTAGTTGGGCTGAGTAATCAAAGCGTCAGGCCCAATATAAACAAAAGAGGCCGACCTTGAAGCTCAAAGTGTACAACAAATAAATATGTCGAAATCCTGTCAGCTTTAAATATCAGACTGTTGGCACGGAGATACAATCCCAAGTAATGCTGAAATTTATGCCCAAGTAGTTCGGTAAAATGGGTTGGTTATCAAAATGGAGAGACCGTACCATAAGTTTTGTAGGATTCCTAATTCTTCGGTGGAACTTGCTAAGTCTCAAAGGAAAAGCTTTTGCTATCTGACACTATAAATAGAAAGAAGAAAAACAGAGAAATCTAGTTAACACTCGATCAAGACTTGCATATTTTACATTCATTAGCCTTTTTTCAGTTCTTAATTTTTAGTTTGTAATTTTTATACTTCAATCAAATTATACACTTATTCTATCAAATCGTTCTATCTTTTTACATCCGAGCAAACTATGATAAGGGAACTCAAGATACTTTTTGTTATTTATTGAGATTCAGCGTCTCTAACATACCTGATATTTATTGTTCAACTATGAACAATATCAATATACGTACTTTGAAAAGTATTGAATAGGAAAAGAGTTCACATTGCGTGTATTAAAACTATACAACATATGTGTCAAAGGGGCGACAACTAACTAGTACAAGAAATAAGCATGCATGATAAAAAAAGAGGCATGTCACTTGTTGAAAGAAAAATGATAAACAATTATTTAAAATGGTTTAAATATGTATAAAGAAGGCCATAACAGGCACTTATGAGAATAGTGAAATGGTTCATATTAAGCTTTTTAAAGAAGGGTATATAAAGACTAAGGTGAACATTTATAAAATTTGTTAAATAAAATTTTTTTAGCTAACAATATTCTTAAAAACTAGATTGATGATATAATACAATGATGTCATGAGCGTGCAATTTATGTAGGTGATCCATTTAATAGAATTGTTGTTGTATACCAACTCTGTTTAAAAATATAAGGTATTTTTTAAGGAGTTGAATATTCAAAAATGTAAAGTATTTTTAATCTTTCGAGGTATAATCATTATTTTTTTAAAAGTGTTCCTATTAATAATAAATTTATATTTATTATAAAATATTTAATAATAATAAATATAAAAAGATAAAATTAATTAAAAATAAATAATTACTTTATTAAAAGATGAGATTTAATTAAAAATATTTTATAATTTTAGATGGAGGAAACATAGGTTTATAACTTTTGTGTTTGAACGAAGAATAGATGACGCTGAGGATTATTTAAAAAAAAAAAAAAAAAACGGGAGGGGGGTGGCGGGGTTTGTTGGGGATTGAAATAGAGAGCGAAGGGAAGGCCGGTGGTTGGGAAAACTGGAAAAGGGTTTGAATGGTGTCTGCATATGTGGAAAGATGCTGCTTCTGAGACTGCTTTAGTTTCAGCGTCTGCGCCCACTACTTACTCCCCTCGGCTCTGATTCTTATGCAGTGAGAGAGAGAGAGAGTGACCCAACATGAATCAATGATGAATGTTCGTTCGTATTTATATGAGTGTGTGTGTGTCTCTGTGTCTCTGCCCTCAGGCTCTGAGAAGGACGACTGGCTCTCTCTCTCTCTCTCTCTCTCTCTCAACCTCCTCCACTGTTTTGGCACTGAAAAACATGCATTCTCCTTCCTTCCCTCCTTCTACCCCTTCACTCCCATTCATAATTTAATTTCTCTGATCTATAACATCATGCGCACTTGGCCACGCAAATCTTGTGACTTGCTAAAAGGACACTACTACAACACACCTCCCAAATTAGTCTATATATTCACTAAATTAAGGATTTAAGGTCACATTCTAACTTCCGCTCTTCCTTTTGGGTACATGGGAATACAAATGAAGAGATCAACTGCAACTAATTTTTGGTCCCCCACTTTACATAGAATCTCATCCTATGTTTGGCTGGAAGGGAGTTTGCATTATTATTACACAACAGGTGGGGAGGGGCTCCAGCAAAATAAAGAAACAATTTGATCATTTTTCAGCCCAAAAAAAGAAAAAAACAGGCTCACCCTAAAGTTGTCATGTTCTTACTCGTAGGAAGCAAATCTTTTAAAGTTAAGATTGATGATCTTTTTATATAAAATTAAAACATCTAATTTCAAAAAAAAAATGTTCTATATCTTTGAACAGAAAGAGTATGCAATAAGATAATGAATGAATTTATTGAAGGGACCGTGCTGGGCTTCTCTCTCGCATTGATTGTGTTCAGAAGGTTGTAGGCTTTTTCCCGTCTTTGATTTTGTCAGTGCAGCTTCAATGCTTCTCTCTCTCCCTCTGTGTGTTGCTAATTACTCTGACCGGACCTTATCCTCCGCCAACCACACGCTCTGGACATATACTCCAAACACTACCTCCAAACTCCCAAAACTATTCACTCTCTTCTCTTCTGGCCCCATTCTTCATTACTCTGATCTCTTCCCTCTCCTCTCATCATCATCATTCCTCCTCTTTCTTTCACTCTCACTCTCTACGCTATCCACATATCTATTTATAAATTATACCGATATGTCAACCTACGGCACCACCTCTCTTGAAAGAGCTCCTAATTTTGAATCTGGCATTCACATGATTGTGTGCGTGCGTGACTGTGTCTGCGTTATAATCTCCCTTTTCCGTGAGAAATGGGTAGGTTAGGGATAAAATTAAAAATACACATGTATATTACATATGTATCGAATATTTCAGAATAGTTTATTAACAAAAAAAAAAAAGAAACATATTAGATAGTTCTAAATTGAAAACTATATGTGTCAATATTTAGCTGGCCTGCCTTCTTTTACTTAGAAGACTAGTGGGTTCAAACTTTGTGTTGATATGTTTGTGCACGTGTGTGAATGTGAGTCTCCTTTTTTTATGGAAAAAGACCATAGGTTATGGGTAAAATTTAAAAAGAAAACTAAGTAATATACATATTTTGATGGGCTTTGTATATAGTATGTTAATTACATTATTTAGCCACACTTGTTTCCTTCAATATAAAATCTAATACAACAAAGGACATTCTGTTCTCACAGGATCTGTATAAAACACACGTACGACACAATCTAAGTCATAGCTAAACAGGAAGAAAACAAAGGAGCAACATCGATCAAGAGAAAGAAGATATTAACCCACGATAAGAAAATCCTTGTTTATATGACAGGCAATCATTTATACCAAATTTAATTGAACAAAAATAATAACACGGCACAATAAACTGGAAAAAAGTTATACAAATAGCACTCTTCCCCTCCCCACCACCACTATATATAAAATTTCATCCCACTCACACATAATCACGTGTCACTCAGTATACCCATTATAATTTCACAAATATATTTTATAGCAGAGAAAATGGTAGACACCTTGAAAATATAGATATAGAGAGAAACTTTGCTAGCTAGAAGCTAGACCAATGATAAAGATTTTCTGTTTTTCCCTTCTTTTTTCTCGTTATTATTATTGTTATTGTTGTAGTTCTCTTCTTCGCCACCTTCTGTTGTTAGAGCAGACGACATGTAGCTTACTACCAAGGAGTTCTCGTCCCGTGGAGGAGGAACCGCCGAGGCTGTCGGCAGTATTGTCGACGTCGTTTGGGCTCCGAACTGTCGTTTGCAAGCATGACAGGTGATTTGAAGCATGACGGAGTTGATCTGCTTGATGGCGTGTTCTTTGATGGCGTAGGCTTTGTCAAGCTCGGCTTGTGCCTCTTGCCTGATTCTCTTTGCGTTTGCAAATTCCTTCTCAGCAACTTCTATCTGTCGTCTTGCTTGCTTCCTTGCTTCCTCTGCGTAAGCCTTCTCCGCCGTGGCTAACCTTAGCTGCTCACGTGCTTCCTCTTGATGAATCACCCTAATCATCCCTCCATTATTACCTGCCACACATTAATTATCTGAGACATGCATATTGATTCTCTGAAACATAAAGCCCGAGGTTTTGTGATCAAACTCTTTGACACATAATGATTCTTCAGTATGCCATGGGAATGCTTAGAGTCATATATATATATATATATGTATGTATGTATAGGGACCATAATAATAAACCTGTACTCATGACTGCCTTTTCTCTTTATATTTATCATTTATTCTCCCTCACCAACTATGCATTTATATGCCATCAGTTTGTGACGATATACAGAAGATCGAAATCCATTAGAATGATAATTCATCTAAAAGTATGCTAAGTTATACATGCGTCAGTAGAAAAAGGTCTCTTTTGGGTTGGATTAAGAAAAACTATGTTATTATATTGTAGTAAATATTAATTATATCAGACTGATCAAATCATCTATCAACAAATATTAGCTTAATATAGTCCACCAAAGTGAAATGAACATTTAAAAAATTAATTTATTTCTGAAAATTAACTTATTTTAAAGGACCATGCCTACACTTACAATACAAGCTTTTAGCCTGAAAAAATGGCTTCTGACAGCTTTAGTTTAAAAGCTTACCTTCTGGTTTATCGCTGCTGTTACAACTCTCCTTGGGTGAATTCCTCCGAGTATTGAAGCAGTTGGATTCATTTTCCTCGCCGATTGAGATCCGAAAGTGGTTCGAACGGGTCTCATGATGATCATCTCTCTTAGGCGATTCTGTATCAATGGGAATAATTGAACTAGAGGTAGAGAGCCGAAGATCCAAGTTTGGACAGACTTTATTATACTTGTTGTTCGATAATGAGGTTTCACGATGAGCAACAGTGTTAATGGTAGGGTTCAACAATGTGGCCGGTTCAGTGATTGGCTTAGGCAACACAAGTCCGTTCCAGTTCTGCAGCCCAGTGCTGAAATTGGTTTCACTTGACGGACTCGGACTCGAAGCGGTTCGCGACAAGCACGCCGGCGGCTGCTGCTGCAGCGGTGGCTGTGTTTCCGACCGGAGCCGCCCCATGTTACAATTGTCTTGGTGTTCGATAAAGCTCTCCACCCTACACATCAAAAAGGATGATCGATCAAGTTAACTTTTAATTTATACAATACGTGTATATACATACATAGACCATTGATTAGCTTCTGAATTTTATTTTTTGAGGATGAGCATTATAAATGAGTAGAGACATGCAAGGACAACAAGGAGGGTTATTATTAGATGAAGACGTCACGGAGTTTCAGAGAAGAAAAAAGATAAAGCGTTCACAAACGGTGCTTCTTCTAAAAAAGCCGGCCGTATCCACAGGTTTTCAAATGTGAAATGAGATCCACTGAATAAAGGACAAGAACTGATCATCAAGGACCAATGTTAATCAATCAATCTCAATTATCAACTCAAAATTCATCATTAAAAGGATATTAATCAATACAATGCGCTCGAGAGGATAGTGATCTATCACAGGCACTCATCTGAGAGAATTTTGTGACGAAACACAAGTTACACACACACGCACGCACGCACGCACACAAATGCGACCAACGAAAACTGAGCTTTGGGAAATGTGTTCACAACTGCCAATGAATAGTTCTTTTAATTTTAGATTAAGGTTCCATCAGTCAAATGTTAAGACTTTTCTTTCAATACATAAATTGCTTTTTTTCCCACTCACTTTATCTTCCTCTCCGATAAAATACACTTGCTTTTTTTTCCAAGTCAAAACAAAAATCGATCACGATCATCATCAGAATTCAAACCAGATGAAATAATCGATCAAACAAACAGATCGATATAAAGATATATAGTGTGTGTATATAGAGTGTGTGTGTGTGTAGATCTTTGTGTGTGTGTGTGTGTGTGTGTGTGTTGTGTATGATTGAACGAACCTTGAGAAAACGCGACCACAATCGCAAGAGTGGCCTCTGGTGCCACAGGTTTTGAGATGAGCTTTGTAATCGGACTGCACTGCGTAGCCTTTGGAGCATCGTTCGCAGACCCATTGCTTGTGGTTGCTGTGTTTTCTTCTGAAGTGTTTCTTTATTCCGACGAGATCGCCGAGCGCATGGCACGGGTCATGGTGCAAGCACGTCGGCTCCGGGCACACGAACACGCGCTTCCTCGCCGCCGGCGTCTCCCTCTTCAGAAGCTTCCACGGCACCTTGTGCCGCCGCCGGTGCATCTGCAGGTTCTGGTCCCTCTGAAAGCCCTGATTGCAGATCTCGCACACGTACCGGTCCGATTCCAGCAACGTCTTCGGCGACAGCGACACCACCTCCGCGTCCGGATCTGCTCGGCATGCACGGCGCAGCCAATTCTCTCCAATTAATTCATTTCAATTCGTCACACGAAATCAATCAATTAACAGTATCGGAATTAATTGTGTGTATTACCTGGAGTTCCGGCGGGCCTTCTCTTTCTCTTATTCGTGGTGATCGTACCATTGTCGCCACAAGGAAAGGGATCAGAAGTAGGAGCCGAAGCGAGAGAGTTATTCGCTAACATGATATATGACGATAACACAAACAATAGTGTGATTTCTGCAACTGGTTTGTGCTGGCGGGATAGAATTAGGTTGAAGAAGAAGAAGGTGATGATGATGATGATGATAGTACTGGAGTAGAAGAAGAAAGGCTAGGTATAGGGTAGCTATAAAAGCAAAGCTAAAATTGGTGCTTTTGTTTGGGTTGGATTCAGCTTTCTTTTGAATTTGCTTTTGATGAAGATTTCAGCTTTTCTTCTTCATCATCTTCATCTTCTCTTTTGGTCTCTCTCTCTCTCGCTCTCTGGCTTAGTTAATTCCAAGCCCCATCTGCTTCAGCGGGTGATGTCTCTAAATAGCTCTCTCTCGGCAATAAACTTTCCATAGGAGAGAGACACAAAGAGGGTGAGAGACCAATCACGAAGCTCGAGACTTGATCCCACAAGCTGCGCAAATGGGCTCCAGAAGAAAGAAAAAGAAAAACAAATAAAAAATAAAAATAATGTGTCTGTGTATCCCCCACAAAGAAACAAAACCCCCTCATTATTTCATTGCACAGTTAAAATTTCTGATTTGCATGCACAATTACCCCATGCCATTTATATTACACAAGCAAGCCTCCGTTTTATTTCACTTTCTCCTGCCAGATTTAAGGTTAATTAAGTATTCTAAATATATCAATAAATATCTTAACTATAGTCTTTAAATTTTATTAATATTTAAAATTATTAAAATGTATTTCTATAAAAAATAAAAATAATCAATACGGTCAGAATATTTTTTTACTTTTACTGTCCCTTCTAAAAATTTGATATTTAATAATTTTTAATATTGTATGACAATTTTTTATAATTGATTGATAAAATTAAGTAATTATTATTGTATCACATGATACACTTGTTGAGTATACCTCCGACACTTATTGAATCCAAATTTCTCTCTCCCTCTTAGATTTTTTTTTTTTTTGGATCCTATCAACTATGCACCACACTTATAACTTTGCATATATTAACATCACCACACGCGCACACATCCTCATCAATCTCTACTCACAGCTTTCTCCACCCAACTACTTGAACTAATTTCTGAAGGCTATATATCTTACTTTATATAATTTTATTTTGATGTAATAAAATTTCTAAAATTATATGCAGTATAAATATAACTAGTGGTGTCTATGTAATCTCATCAGCATTAATAGAAGAGCTTTCATGCAGCTTATTTGTTAAATATAAAATAATATTAATAGTTATTAATTAAAAGGATTAATTTTGTCTTGCAATTATTGAAAATTATTATAATATAAAAAATAGTAAAATTCATATTAAAATATAAGAAATTACTGATGAATAATGTTACTAAAATCGATAAATAAAATGAAACCCATTTTCATAAAAAAAACCAAGAAAGAAACTCTCACCCCCATAAAAACATATTTTCAAATTTAATATTCTTGTAAACACATACTGTTTTTATTATAAGCCCATATATTTTTGGTTAATCTTTAAAACCGGACTCACTTGTTTGTTTGTTTGTTTGTTTTTTAAGAAAAAGAATTACTCCTTCCATTAAAAATTGTAAAGCATTTTTTAAAGAATTGGATATTAAAAAATGTAAGGTATTTTTAATTTTTAAAGTGTAATTATTTTTTTAAAATATTCATATTAATAATGATTTTATATTTATTATAAAATATTTAATAAAAATAAATATAAAAAATTAAGATTAGTTTAAAAGTAAGTACTTATTTTATTAAAGATAAAATTTAATTAAAAATATTTTATATTTTTAAAAGAGATTATAAATATTTGAAATGTATCACATGATTATTGTTAATGACTATGGAGAGAGCATAGCATAGCATAGCATAGCATAGCACCCCCATGCTTGGGATCACATTCACAGTGCAGGGAAGTCCAACTAATTTCAGTAGAGTCAGCTTTTGTATAAAGGTAATAATTAGGGTGTGAAGTCACCTTCAGGGGTTATATGGTCAAAGCACCTGCCTTCTCTTCAGTCTAAGATGCTTTTGAATTTTGGGGGAAAAATAAAACATGCAACATTGTCTTTTGCAGGTCAGGTTCGTAATCTTGTCAATATTGTTGCAAGCCCCTAGATATTTACTGTACGGCTATCTTCTTCATTATTTTTCCCTTGAAATCTTCCCCTCAGTGGAAAACTATTCATTGGCGCACATCACAAATCAACATCTATTTTGTGCGGGTTTGTGTGTGTATTTAAAAAAAGTGGAACAATAGATCTAGAAAAAATGACCAAAATACTTTCAAAATAAAAATATGTAAATCACAATTAAGTATTGTGAAACATAATTATTTAGTCCCTGGTGACTTGTTTGATATTTTGCATTTTTTATGAAATAATATATTTGCTCTCAAAAATTATCATAAGAAAAGACTATATTGATAATGCTATTGATTAAAACAAGATATAAAATGACTTTTTTTTTTCAAATTTATTTATCAATCAAGTGCAGGTAAAGTACTTATTTTTAGAAGAGAAAGTGATCATTTTCTAATCTATTTATAAATTACAAATTTGTAAGAAAAAAATTATAATTTTTTATTTAATTTTAATTAGAGTTGATAATATAAGTCAACTTATGACCAGCGAGCCAGTTTGCAGTGAGTTGTAGGCTTGGTGTAATGAGTTGATATAACTTGCATTTTGTGCGGGTTTTATTTCTATTAATCTGCAGCGGGTTGGTGGGTTAGAGAGCTAACCCACCAATCAAAAATATTTTTATATACATTTTTTTAATTTTAAAATTACAAATTTACTTTTTCTTTTTTTATGGTAAAAAAATCATATTTTCTTCCTAAAAACTAATTATCCAAATAACAGTAAAGCTCCTTCTAAATCATTCAAAAGATATACAAATTGAAAATATATTAATACATTTTAAAATATTGACTTCTTCCATTCAAAAATATAAGGCATTTTTAAGGAATTGGATGTTAAAAATATAAAGTATTTTTAGTTGTTTGAGGTATAATTATTATCTTTTTTTTAAAGTACCTTTATTAATAATGACTTTATATTTATTATAGGGTGTTTAATATGGTAAATATAAAAAGATAAGGTTAGTTAAAAAATATGTAACTACTTTATTGGGGGATGAGATTCGGTTAAAAATACCTTATATTTTTAAACGGGAGGAGTATATATCAATCATAGACATAGTAAAAAGTTTAATTACAATTTAAAGCTTGAAAATTTCTTCTAATCAATTACAATGTTAAAAGCTAGAATAATATTAGTTAAAGTAGATTTCTCCAAATCTTCATCCGCCACAAATAAAAATAAAACATAATTAAACATTAAAATATAATTAACACGTACCTCTATTAAAAAATATAAAGTATTTTTAATCAAATCTCACCCAATAAAATTGTTACCTATTTTTAAATTAACCCTATCTTTTTATATTTATCTCTATTAAATATCTTATAATGAATATAAAATCATTATTAATAGGAGTACTTTTGAAAAAAAGTAATGATCACATCTCGAAAGACTAAAAATGTCTTATATTTTTTAACATCCAACTCCTAAAAATACACTTTATATTTTTTAACAAAAGGAATATAAGTTTAGAAAGTAATTGAGAAAATACAAATATTACGATACAAAAATTTTGATGTCTTTCCTTTTATATTTATTGACATAATTAAACTGCTTTCTTATATATTGTATGGAATAAAAAGTGCAGCTTGATACATTAGTTTCATTTATATTATATGTTGATATTGATTTTGGTAACAAAAATGTATTCTCCATTTTTTTGTTGTTTAAATGAAGACTTTGCAGCCTTTAGTGAAGGTTAATTACGATATATTATAATACATCGAGTCTAATTTTGGTTTTGGACGGTTTAGCTTAACAAAATTTATTTTATAATTATTAAAATAAAAATTTATTTTATTATCAATTTAGATAATATAAATTTAATCTTATAGTCCAATTTAATATTAAAAATTTTCAAAAATTTTATAAATTAATTATCTAAAACTACTCTAGATGGTTTGGTTTTAAAATTTTGATGGGTTTAAGAGTTGAACACAATTTTGCAATGTTTGCCTTTTTTTAAAATAGACAAGCAGGCGAACACGTCAATGTTTGCTGCAAGTTCAAATTATGTGAAGTGAGTCAAAATTATTTTGCAAAAAACTCAACTTGTTTTTTTTTTTTAAAGGGGTTGAGTGGTACCATCTATAATTTTAGTTAATGACCAGATCAAAATAATCATTTCTTATAATAGTTATCAAAGGAAAATATGTCATTTTATCACAACTGAAATTTAATTGTAAAAAATGAGCAATTTCCACATCAAAAGCAGTAGGGGCCTGTATGGAGTTCCTTTGTATAAATATATGCCACATATGACCAATCATAAATGACGATAATAATTGTTAAGAACAAAAAGTCACACAGCCATTTAATGAACGAAGAAAATGACAATCTCAGCGTAAGTGAGTACAATCTCAACGGACAAAAAACACGCACACGCAGTATATTAAACAATTTGTTTATTGGAACATGAATGAACATCCTTTTATTTAATTCTTAAATGTGTTTAAATTTTTAAAAACTAATGTTATGATATAAAGTTGGAAAAATGATAATAATTTTTTTAAAAATTATATAAATAATATTTTGATCTCTCAAAATGTCATTGTTCTTTTAAAGTTTTTAAGAACTTTTTTATCATTAAAAAATTAATATAAATAACTAATTTTTTTAGTTCAAATATCAATTGCTAGTTATAAATTTTATTGTAAGATTCACACCTTTTCTTTTTAAAATTATAAGAATTTAATAGTAATTCATAAGTTCACATTTGAAATCTTAATATTTCTCAAGTATTGCAAATATCAATTGCCATTCACAAGTTTTGTTCTAAAATTCATAACTTTTCTTTTTAAAATCGCAAAAATGCAACAATAATTTGCAAATTTACATTTGAAAGCCCAAACTAAGAGCAATTTAATTATCTATATTAATTCCTTAATGATAGAAGAGTCGTTAGAAATTTCATGGAGATTATGGCATTTCGAGGGATCAAATGTCATTTACATAATTCAAAAAAATTTTATTATCATTTATCCTGTAAAATTATACATCCTTCAGAGATCAGAGCTGCCTTTCATTTAGAACCGGACCTAGCTTGAACTTAGATTAGCCGAAGCTATCAATTAATAATAAGAAATTAAACTTGTTTCCCCTCATGTATAAAGAGTAAGCTTTGCTGGTAATAAAGGATATCTCTTTTAAGGTTTTCGAATGAATGAATAGATTTCTCTTGACTAAATTAGATGAAGACACACAACAGTTGAAGTTAGAATCTCCAATCACTTACT